GCCATCAACCTGGCGGCAGATTTACGGCAGGACCTGCCGTCGTATACAGGGTGTCTCGGAATATATACTCTCGGAGGAAAGTCGTGCATTCTGGGACACCTCGTACAGTACATCGCAGGGCATAAAGTGCTTATTCAAATAGCAAAATGGCGAAATTTTGAATTCTGGTACCAGTAAAGTATCAGTCTTCGTATAAGTGATATGGACTGACATTGAAATTGAAAGTGAGGAAATTCTCGAAAAATACAAGGTTTACGAAATGGAACAAGGCTGCTTCTGATGTCAATAACATGTAAAAACGTAAGTTTACGTCGTATCATGAACTTTAATGAATATGTGATTTGAGACATCATTAATTTTAAATGTGTACGATAATATTGTTAACTCTTTTAATATTCTTGTTTGCAGGGAACGTAGGAGGACCCTTCGTCTCATTCCTCCTGGTAGAGGGCTGGATTCGAGGCACGGAGGATTATATTGAAAAGGCACAACGACTGGGAAATTGAACAAGGCTGATCCTGATCTTGGCAACAGCAGGAATGTAAGTTTACGTTCTACTATGCGTACTCTAATAAATACATGATTTCTGACAGGGTCAATTTTAATTGAGTACGATGATATTATTAAACTAACGTTCTTGGTTGCAGGAAACGAAGGAGGACCTCTTGTCTTATTACACGTGGCAGAGGGACTGGATTCGAGGCATGATGAAGATATTCGGAGAACATGCAACCAGTGTGCACCTAACCAATTAATAACCTATTAATACTCATTTATTGTATTCATAATTTAATTATTATGTACTTACAGGGATAAAATAAATAAGTTATTTTAATGTAATTAATTTATTCCTTTTTTATATAAAAAAAGTCCATATATAGAATAATATTTTGCAGAATTTTGACATAATGTATGACAGACTGCTGTCATACTAACAGGAAATCTGGCGTCATTCTGGCGGCAAATCTGCTTTCACGCCTGACGGCAGTATAATTGCAGATTGATGGTAGATTTGCCGGCAGGGGCTGATGGCAGGCCTGCCGGAAAATTGGCGGTATAATGCGGACGCAGTTAGCCGACAATCTGTCTGCAGACTTTGCTCCAGAGGGCAGAATCTGCCGGCAATCTGTCGGTAATCTGCAGGCAAATGGTTGGCTGGGTATGGTCGAAGGCGTATACCCATAAGCTCCCCTGTAAAATGTTTGACGCTAATTGAAGCTCTCCGGTAGCCATGTTGGTTGTAGTACGTTTGCAAATTTTCGCGGGAGATTCAAATAAATATAACTCAAATAAGTATAAGAATTTGACATATTTATTTTTAAAATTCTTCATTTCAATTTTTATCCAAAAGAACAATTACATTTAATAAAGAAAAGTGTTAACGCATAGTGCAAGCGTAGGTTTTGGGTTTATGGTAAAATAAAAGACTTTGTGTGTGTGTAGATTGAGCCAACGAAATGTAATTGATCTTACAGAAGCGATTACAAAAGTGAATTAATAAATATGTTGCTTATATATATACATGTATCATCATATCATATACATCAAACTATCTATAACGCGAATAATCGCATAAATTTAAATTAATTCCAACAAATTGAATGATTTGGAATTTGTTTCAGTCGATATATAATTTGAATTAAAAGATTAAATTTACAATTAAGAGATAAATATCTTTAGTTTACAACCATCTCTTTGGATTAATATACAAATGCAAAAATAGATTTCCTTTCGAAAATAACAAATATTTTACAATTTGGTGCACTTCATTCACCCACGGTATGCTTAATTGTCCAAGCATCATCTGTTTATAACTTCTCCATATATAAGAGAAATTCCTTCTCGGATGAGCTGATAATAAAGAAAACACGAAGTTAAATTTTGTATTATAGTAACGATTAAACACTCTTAAATATACATGCCGCTATAGGTGATTACATGCAAAGTTACAGATAAGTTATCATAAGTTATAGTTAAAGTTATCATAAGACTGCAAATAATTCTCTTCTCATATTTTTTGGCCTCTTCTACTTTTAGCTTCAAAATATTGAAGCTTTCACACGTGAAACATGGTTCGCCGTTAATACTTGAATACCAGGAGCGTAAAGTGCTTGGACTTGGCAAAGCTTGGCAAAATTTTTGTCTGACGAACATATAAGCTTTTGGGGAATAAAAGTGTAATGTAATAGCAAAAGACCGAATAGCTGCCGGATATTTGTCTCTACTAACTCCCAATCCAGAATTTGTATGATTACTCTTAAATTCTCTATTTCTCTTAATCTGCTGTTGCTGAATACCATTCTTTTTGTTTTTCAAAAATCTTTGAAATAATTGCGAAACATCACACTGAGAAATAGCGTCTAAACATGCAAGGCCAACCTCCGGTATTGCCTTAGTTCTACGTAATTCACTTACTAGATCGTTCAGGCTAGTGATCTTCTTCTTTAGCCGCTGAATACGCCTATTGTGCACTTTAGACTCCGCTCGCAGCCTTTTAACTGTAGCACTTAGGCGAGATATCTTGCGCTTCATGCTATTTGGAGATAATTCATAGGAATGATCATATGTACAATTCCTCTTCCGGTTTAAACTTCTTGGCGTGCATTGGCTTGAAGAAGTTGAAGGACGCTCCTCTGAATCATCTTCATGCGTAACTATATAAGGATAAAAATTTGATTAACATATATGAATAAAAATATGAAACTACTTCTACCAATAAGATTATCTTATTGTCGTAGTCTCAGTTCTTTCAAATACAGGAGACACGGTAATTTCATTACCAATTTCTGTTATCGAGTTATCATTTGTTGTGTCACAATTTTCGTCGTTTTCCATTTCTATGTCCATTTCTGATAGCACGCTTGAACAATTCGCCCTGCTCTCTTCTGCACTAGCAGCCTGGTCCTCTGAATTATGCGTATCTGTATAAAATAAAAATTTCATCACATGTAAATAGAAAGTACACTTTTATTTATTATAATTCTTTTAGTAGAAATATGACACCATACCCTCGGTTGTTTCCAATATAGACGGTACTGCATTTTCTTTCAATCGTAAATAGCCCGTCCGTGCAGTGTAGAAACAATCTTTTGAAAAGTATTTCGTGCAAATTATGCTTTTCTTATGCGGAATATAATTTCCCAATTTTAAAGCAGTGATCCACTTTTCAAGAAGCTCGGAATTGTTTAATGGAAATCTAGAATTAAGTAAGACAAGCAACATTAAGCAAGTAGTACAATATACATTACAATAATTGCAAGACACTTATTTTGTAACATAAAAAGATAAGTTTGCACTTGACGTATAAATCAATTTAAATAGACCATACGTTCGAAATGAAACATTCTTATCATCATCTTGGATGGCATTACAATATGCACATGTTGTTCGGTATTCCACAAACAAGGTAGGAATACTACTAACACGCAGAAATGTCCTTGTGTCTTTCTTTTCGAAACATTCTTTTGTAAAATGCTCCGAGCAAAGTCTAGTACTGCTTGTGGGAACAAAAGAAGTTCCTACATTCATTTTTTGCAGCCAGACAGAAGCTCTGCATCTTTCAAAGGAAATCTAGAATACGACAAATTAATTAATATGTGTAGTAACGCTCCTATACAAATGTCTGAAAACATGTTTTACTCAGTTCGTTTCTTTTCTTTTAAACAAGGAAACTTGTACATAACCTCACTGGTATTACTTACTGCCTTCTATTCCGCCTTTCTTACCGCAATATTTACATATTAGCACCATTGTATCTCTAATAGTAAATAATTTATGCTCGAAATATTAATAAAGCACTATCCGATCGAAATTATAGAGCCAGAATAAATCACGGGTCAAACATATCGTTCAGAGTCGATCATCGGAATCGCCATATTGGATTTGAAAACTGACTACACGAAACATGGCAGATACCTACTCAAAAGGGGTCAACCGAGCGAGCCTATGCGCTATCCAGTGTTATATAGAGATCAGTGGTTGAGCCTCAAAGAGTCGCGAATCCTAAAACCAAAGTTCTGTCATGT